AGGGACATGTCGTGTTTTGCCCTCTTTACATGATTGATCTAGGTTCTGAAACCTAGGGCCTGTTTGTTTTCTGTTTTTAAAAATTATTTTTTATTTTTAAAAACAAAAAAATTAAAAACTTATTTGAATAAGTATTTTTCATTTAATCATTTTCAAAATTATTTTCATTTTTTGTTTTTAAAAACCAAAAAATAGAAACAACTTCATGTTGTTTTTATTTTATTTTCTTTATTTTTAAAATACACTACATTTGATTATTGAAGATTATAATTATCTTGATCAATTTTTATTATTAATTATCACCATTACTTATTTATAATCATCACTATCAGTCCATTTTTTAATTTTAAAACTATTTTTTAATTGATATAACCAAATAGATTTTCATTTTATTTTGTTTTAAAAAATAATTTTAAAATCTATATTACAAAACAGTTTTTGAAAATAAAAAATGAGAACAAAAACCAAACAGCCCCTAATTTTTCATTACTTTTTCTTCTTTTTTTTCCGAATGTTGAGAGGAGCTTACATTAGTATATATTTCTTCCCCTTGGTATTTCTTCTTTGTTGGGGGAGTTTGAGGGTACTATTTCAAATAACAGATTCAACAAGAGTTGATCATGGGCAAGCAAATCAAATGAAAAATAAAAAAGAGCGGGTTCCTGCACATTATAAGAACGGGAAAAAAATGTTGCTTAACAAGAATAAGATGCATAAGGAATGAAAAAGAGAGGTTACGCTTCAGATGATAAATAAATCAAGGGTCAAAAGTATCCAGTAATTTAAATTTTAAAAAAGAATAAAAATACCTATAATATTATTAAATTTAATACAAAAATGATCAAACCATTAACTTTGCTCTAACGCAATTAATTTTTGATATTAAATACTTATTGTGCTTGTCATATGTCAATCTTTGCTGACAAAAACTAAAAAAGAGGCAAAAATACTCATGAAGTTGTCGACTAGGAATATCCAATAGCCTAAAGTGAGAAAAAGGACAAAAATATTTACAATATTATTAACGTTAGTGCAAAAATAAACGATCCATCAAATTTTTTAAATGTTAACCATTTAACTGACACCTAACTAGAAATTGATCATTTTTTCATTGATATAAAAAAAAATTATTCTCAAGTTAATTTCTACTGAAGTCTATCGGTGATGTATCTTACCAAATCTCATTTTTTTCGCTGACATATCTCACCCCCTCCATCCATCTCTCTCCACTCATTTTTCTTGTATGCAAAACCTAACATTTAATATAGTGAGATAAGTTGTACACAATCGAAGATCGAGACTAAGCACACCTCCTACACCTGCTACATTAAAAATATTTTCACTACCTTAAGCAATTTCATTTATGATAGGTTTGAAATTCTCAAATAATTTCACCATTGTTGCAAAGAAGCGAGCGTTTTAACTTGATGTTCAATCAAAACAACATTTTTCCATATGATATTCACACGATGACTAATCACCCTCCATATAATTTCACTTAAGAATATTTTTTGTTCATATTAGCAAAAAAAAATGGTCAACTTCTATTTAAGTGTTAGCTAAACGGTTAACATTTAAGAGATTTAATAGATTAGTCATTTTTGCACTAACTTTAATAACATTATGGATATTTTTATACTTTTTCTCATTTTAAGCTACTAGATATTTTGGCCACTCACTTGATAGGTATTTTTGCGTAACAACCCAATTTAAATTTTAATAGTTAATTTGGATTAATAGAAATTTTTAAAAATATTTAAAGGTAAATGATTATCAAATCTAACTTATGATATAATTTTAAGTTAAGATTTTAAAAATTATTATTATTATTATTATTAAAAAAGAAGAAAGATAAATATAATAGAAAGAGAGATTGAGAAATGAAATATATATATATATATCTATATATACATATACATGGGAATTAAAAAAATAGAAAAGGGGGGAGGCGGACGTTTTACGCGTTGTGCAGGTGTGATTTACATATACACGTATAAAGATTTACATATACACATATAAAACAAAGGAAAGGAAAGCAAAAAAAAGTGAAACCCACACTTTAAAAAAAAAAACTACACGCACACCCTTCGCCTCTCATTTTTCCTTCATTTCCTTTCTCTTCCGTGTGCGAATAGAAGGAGCATCTGTGCGCACGAGTTCGGCGCAGTTAAGTTTTAAAGGTGAGACTTTTTAATAGGATATTTAGAATAAAATTTCAAATTTTTTAAAATTAAGTAAGTGTTCTAAAAATTTTTCTTATTTATCTAACTCTTTTCATTTCTGATTTTATGATGGTAAAAAATTTAAGGTTTGGAATAGGGATGAATTTGTATTGAATAAATGTGATTGTTAAGATTATTAGTAGTATAATAAATATTTTAGAGTATAAATTTGTTAGTGAGCTTTGAATTTGAGGCTTGTGGATCAAACCTTAAGCTAGATTTTATTAAATTCAAAAATATATGTTGATTTATTGAGGTTTAAATGATTATTTGGGATGAGAAATGAATTACTATGGCTATAGGATAATAATTCTAAGCTTAAGACTCAATTTTTAATTTTTAAATATTTTAGGTGCAAATTTATGAAATAAAAAAAATGTTGATAATAGAAATTAGTTTAGAGGTTGATTTTAACTTATTAATGTTTATTGATGACTAAAAGAGAAATTAAAAATTTTACTTGATAATACTAACTCTAGATTTGTATTAAGATTGAGATTAGAAATTATGTTATATTTTCTAATTCTATTATTAGAGTTATTTTATTAGTTTCAATAATTTAAACTAATATTTATAAATAATATTATTTGCAGATTGTATTATTGGTGAAGATTGTGGTGGGAGAGAAATTGTAAGGAAAAATTTATTGAAAAAGCCACGAGGTAATCATGCTTTTAATTTGTGATTAGTGTTGCTTTATGTTAATTGGGTGATTATTAAGAAAATTATGAATTGTTGTTGAGAAATTACTTTGTTATATTTATGAAAAAATTGAAAATTGTAGATATGCATTTTGAAGTATTTTTGCCAAAAAGGATTTCATATTATAAAATTGTTGAAAATGAGAAAATTGTGAAAATTATAATATTATATAATTGTACAGTGTTGTTATGAATTTATTTGATTATTGTGGAAGGTGTTGAGAGACTTGTTGTTGTTGTTATATTTATATGCCACGTGGTACGCCCCTATTGGAGCCCAATAGGTGGCTTGTAAGGGTTCAGGCTAATATACCTTTGGCTGGGTAATTTAGCACCAAGTAAGGGCTATGTCTTGAGGTTAATAGAGAGAGATAAAGATGGTTGTTTGTTATATATTATAATATTTCTTATATTTTTCTTAAAATTACATGACTGTTGTTTCTCCATTTGGCAATCACACATTTAACTGTTTGTATATATTATCATAAATTGGCATTGATTACTGAAACTTTTAAGTCTCATTATGTGATTAATAATTTTTAGGAGAAGAGCTACAAGTGGTGCATGGAGGAGTCTCTGAGGCTTAGTGACATCGATCCATTATCTCTTTTGAGTATCTAATTTATGATTTTTAATGTGTTATATTGTCAATATTAGGGCTTTTTGTTTATTGACAATTATATGAATGTAATCACGCCATTTAAACTATTTTTACTTTTAGTACATTTTGGATGACTGTAACTTTGATCTCTAATTTATTTTGGATGGTTTGAAATGGCATGATTATGAGGCCAAATAATTGGCTTATTTTGAAAATTGATTAAGTTGTTTAATTTAGTTATTGGTCTATAGTTTATACTTGTTGGGAGTATAAGGATGGAAAATGTGGTTTTAGCCCAATGGTATGTGAGAGGTAAAAATTTGTCCGAGATATTGTATTATGTAAGCTTAAGTCAATTATAAAATATTTTTATATTAAATTTATTGATATAAAATATATTAGGTGGCTGTAACCCAACTATGGTTGTAAATGTGTATTAGTTGTATAAAATTATTTTGTATTATTTAAAAAAGGGTTTAATCTTTTCTACCATGATAGTTAATTTAAAAGGAAAAGTATTTTATAAGGTTATGTTTTATCGTTTCTTACTATGATAGTGTTTTAAGTTATAGAATTATTTTAAAAAATATATATAAGATAAGTTAACTTTTGTTTATCATGGTATACACTTTTTTACCATGATTGAGTAAAATTGTTTTGAAAAAAAAAAATCAGAGTGCTACATTTTGCACCTTAACTCATAAGTCAATTTGAAGTTGGGCTAAAAGCTAATAAAAATACCTTTTTCTTACATTCTATCAAAAAACCAAAAAGAGGCCTTTTTCTTGCAAATCATGAAACCTAATTTATTAAACAAAAGGCTTTTTACCTGATGGGTGTGGTACATGTGATAACGATTTAGATCCCTTAAAAATCATTTTAAAATTTAATTTTTAAAGGTGTGTATGAAAAACATCATTTGAGAGAAGATAACTTTTTAAATAGTACTCAAATTCTTTAAAAAATTAATTTCATGGCTATTGACTATGAGAATAACTTGAGTAATCCAAAAAGTAAGATGGCCTCTTCGTAAAACAAGGCGGCCTCTTCACATGATAAAAGTATTTGCCAACTCATTAGAATAAATGTCTATATTTAATGCATAATTATATTTCAAATAGAATTACATAGAAACGTGCACGATTAAAAAAAAAAAAAATTTGCCTACAGCAAGGATTAATTTTGAACGAACTATGCAAAATATCATTCTGGCCCAGTCCATCAGACACCAATTTGGCAAATTGTAATTTTATTATTATTACTATTATTATTATTTGGGTTTCAGCTGATAATTTGAAATCGCGAACGTCTCAGGTCAGGCCTCAGCTGGGGTAATTAAAGCACAGTTCGCCTGAGCATCGGGGCAGATACGCCAGGCCCCACCATCCCTCGAGCGCGAATAAATTAACTTCGAACGTTTGCTTCATTACTAAAATTCACATTTATTTAACATCTATATAGCTTCATTCGTGCAGATCTAAATCTATAATGCATTCTATATTCTTTTATTTAACATCTATATAGCTTCATTCTTGCAGAGGATAGGTGCTGCATCCATTTGGTGTTTTCAACATTTTCTGGTGATTCTTGGATAGATTTTAGGATTTCTCGGGTTTAAGAACCGAGGATTTCATGGAAGGGCTTGTGAGTTCTAGGACCAACCTTGTCTGCGCTTATGGTAGAAAATATCAGTCTCGTTTTCTGCCATCTTCTACACTACAGCTGAGGAAGAGTATCTATGAATTTCGATTGAAGACCACGAAATGGTTCTCGTCATTTAACGTAACTTTTGCTTCAGTTCAGCCAGTACGGGGTTCAAAAGTGAGCCATTCTGGGAACAAGCTGCCTTCCGGAGGCTTCTATCACTCCGACCGATGTTTTCGACCTCAGGATTTGAAATCATACTATTGATTGTTTCTTTCTTTAAATGATAGATATTCTTGAGCTTTGGCGAGACGCTGATGCTGTGTGCTTTGATGTCGATAGTTCCGTCTGCCTGGATGAAGGTATTGATGAGCTCGCTGATTTTTGCGGGGCTGGAAAGGCTGTGGCAGAATGGACTGCTAGGTTGGATAAACAAACTATAAACACTTTAAATGCCTTTTGTTTTGATGTTTTCGTGTCCAACTTGTGCACTGAATTTTAACAGAGCAATGGGTGGTTCTGTTCCTTTTGAGGATGCCTTGGCTGCCAGACTATCTTTGTTCAGTCCCTCTTTGTCTCAAGTTCAGGTTGTCTTGTGCAAAGACCCCCCAGGTAGGAGTGATTTTGTTAACGATCTTGATTATTTGTTAAGTTTGGCGTATATGATCATTTTGTTAAAATCCGATCTTGCTTCCCGAATAATTGTTTCCTAGTTACATGATAGAATTAGAATATTCTAATTATGAGATAGAAAAGTTTTCAAAATCTTCACCTGCATTTTGTAGTCTCTATCTTTATTTTCATGCATTTTTGTTGCATGTACTTGTGTCATGTCTGTGGATACTCCAACTAAGGGATATGTGTTAGATGTGTACTCAGAAATCAGAATTGCCAATGACTCGTATCCAGTTTCTGTGCATGTGTGACGTGTCCTTGTACTGGGGTAGATTTATCAGGAAAGTGAGGAATTAGGACTGTCAGAATTAATAGAGTTGACTCGCTCTCACTGGAAGGTTTTCTTTCTCGATTTCTAGTTTCCCATTATTAAAGCTGCAATCCTTTACCATGCCCAATGCTTACTTGATCACCTTATGCATGTTCAGGAGAAACTCCGCATGGTGTCAAAGCCAAAAAATGATATTGCCTTGTCATCAAATCATATATTTCCTGCAAGAGAATTTTTAATCATGAAACTGCAATAATATACTTAAAAAATAATTGTACCGTGGAGAAATTTTTTTTCCGGTAACATACAAAAATAACTGAATTGTTCATATGTCTGGTCATTCTAAAGTTTAACGACAAAACTATGATTTGTGTTTCAAATTTACACTTTTGTTCCTTTTCTCATCATGTCACAAATCGCAATCTGTTTCTTTGATGAGAAATGTGAACAGATGAAGGGCATTGTTTATGATTTTGCTTCTCAATATGCAGGCTTTCCCCTGGCATTCAAGAGTTAGTTGACAAACTAAAGGCTAGTAAAAAAACATGTTTATCTGATTTCAGGGGGTTTCCGTCAAATGATCAATGTATGTGGAAAGTTAATAATTAATGATTCTTATATTTGTTTCCTTCTGGTTTCAAAAGGGTGAATCAGGATACACTGAGTTAACATCGTCATTGTACATATGAAGATATTAAAATGATTTGCGCAGCTTAACACTCACGACTCCAGAGAATTTAACGCAGTGATTTTCGTATATGATAAGCGTGCAGGACAATGAATTAGAAACTTTCTTTCCTTTCTAATTAAATACTAAGTCACTTCTTATGAAGCCTGTTGCGTCAATGCTCGGAATTCATCAAGAGAATATTTTTGCCAACCAACTACTTTTTGGTAGCTCCGAAGAGTTTATTGGGTTTGATAAGAACGAGTCTACTTCAAGAAGTGGAGGAGAAGCTACTGCAATGCAACAAATCAGGAAGGTTGGTATTGTATCTGCTTATTAATTTTAAGTTTAATCTACTACATTGCTTGTCAAGCTAATTAAACTTAGATTTCAGGTTCATGGCTACAAAGTATTATCTATGATTGGAGACGGTACAACTGATAGTAAGGTTGGTAAAAACTTTCATATATTTGAGTAATATTACTTTTATTTTAAATTATAAGACATTTTTGGAGAAAATTCGACATTTTAAAATATAAAACATTTTGATCAAGATAAAATTTTATTAATGATACTTTTTTAATATTACTATTCACATATATTCTTTCTCTTTAATATTATTTTACAAGTGGAATATTAAATGAAAGGCATTTTTCAAAGTTTACAATTTTATCTTGTAAGGTTATAAAGTGTATTTAATAAGTTTTATTAGTATGTGTAATTTTATTTAAAAATATTTTATAATTTAGGATGAAAAGAATAATATTTATGAAATATTAAGGTCCCGACTGTGGGTTTATTATAGCACTTCAAGTTGAGGGCCTTCATTGAAGTTCCTGTCACTAATATCGTTTTCGTGTATTTGGATGTGAGAGATCCACTTGAGTGATGGGACTCGCATATTTTTTGTTCATCTCTTTTCAAAACTGACAACAAATTGAGAGAAGGTGATAAAGAGGATCCAAACCAGTTATTCATGTGTGTGTAACTGTTATTCTTTCATATATTTTGGCTTCTTATAGAATTAAAATAGTTTATATTCTTTTTTCTTTTTTCCCCTTCAAAAAATTAAAAGGGGGGGCTTATGTAAGACACTTCTCTCTATATTAAGAGGACTGGTATTAGACGATTAGGTGTGAGAAAATGATCAGAGAAGTTGACATTGGAGTGATTGCCATTAATTTTTCTTCTTCCTGAAGAATCAAATTGTTTTTTTCTTTTTGAATTTGATTGGATGATCTTGCTTTCTAATGTTCGTTATAACATATATGCTACTTCAATGCAAAAACTATGATATAATACATGAAAACGTGTAAAGCTAATAGTTTCATGTGGAAAGAATCTCTTCAATTTCTTCGAGGGAACTGAAAATTAACTCAATCTTCAAAATTAACTCAATCTCTTTGATTCCCTTTGTCGTCCCGCACAACACCCTCATTCATTTTAAAATTAACTCAATCTTCACTTTTAATTTTTGAACTCTGTTTGGTTGTAATGAGTCTAGCAAAACTTTTAAATACCTTCTCCTGTTTATTTTCCATGGGTATTTGATTCACATATACCTATGTATCTAATTTGTTTCAAAACTTTTTTTAATATAACTTTTATTTCATTTACTTTTGATAATCTTGTATTTATTTTAGGGGGACTTGATGGAATTTTATCCACTATCACCTTATTTCAATTAATGAATTTTATATATTTTACTAATTTTATAGGTATTTAACCTCAATTGACTTATCTCTCTCTTAAAGATTAAGGCTAAAAAGGTAAGAATGTTATTTTTCTATTTTATTGAATCTATTTTAAATATGGTAATTGTTATCATGGTCTATTGTGATGATTGCTTACTATGAAATATATCCAACAAAATGTTTTATCTTTTTTTTTTTTCATTATCTAACTTTGGTGACTGATAAGGTTATACATATAGCTTAATTCTCCAAGTACTTGATGTAAGCTAAATCTATCCTTATTATGTATGCAATAAAGGATGATAGTGTTAATGGTCTTTTAAATAGGGTCACGGTGAGTGATAGAACCACTCAAATATAGTAAATTTCAATTTCCTCTTCACACTAAAACTAATATTTAAATGTTTATTTATTCATATTTTTTTAATAAATCATGATATTTATAAGCTGTAAAAAATGTTACATCACTCACGCACATATATTTTATTGATTCATTTTATGCCTGTACATAACACATGCCACATGCTAGTTCTTAATTAAGGTTTTAAAAATCGGATCGGACTGGCCGGTTCAACCGGTTGAATCAGGAACTGGCTCTTAGTCCGGTTCAGTTGACCTCTAAAAACCGATCAGTAGAGAACTGGTCAACAACCAATAAAATCGGTCAAAAATCGGTAAAACCAAATCAGTTCTCATGAAAAAACTGAATAAAATTTTAAAAAAATAAATTAAAATTAAAATTAAAATACATCTTTCTTGATATTTAAATGAAAAGCTTCAATTATAATTAATATTAATTATGTATTTATCAATAATAAATTATATTACCAAGCATCTGTAATATATTTTTGAAAAAAATGCATATTTAAATGTATTTCTTATTTAATTATGATACATAAATTAAAAATATATTTATTTAATGTTAAATGATTCGACCCCGGTTAGACCACAGTTCAACCAATGAACCGTGAATCAGTGTCTCATCTAGTTTAATGATCAATCTGATTTTTAAAACCTTGTTCTCAATAAATATATAAAACATGTCATGCTTACTGAAATTTAAGATTAAGGTGAGGAGTCGGAGCTGAAGCCATTTCAAAAGCAAGGCAAAGATAGTCAAACGCGAGTGAGGAGGAGATTGGAGTTTTTTTTTTTTTTTTTTTTCATTTTCATTCTATTTTATTTTTCGAATGAGTGGCATCAAAAATTTGAAACCTTCCCTTCCTTCCCTCATAGATTTTTTATGGGGGTTAAGTGGGCTAACTGTTCTTAAGGGTTGGACCATAAGGTTTAGGGCCTAGATAGCTTGGGTTTTAAAAAAGCGACTTTTTGGCGACATAACTCAACCCATATAATGAGATCAAACTCATTTTTCGAGTTCCATGTAAAACGGAAAATGCTTTAATAATAATAACAATAAGTAATAACTCTGACCAAAAGTTTATTGTTACATTAACAATCTTGAATAAATAAGATAACATCTTTAAACTTGTATGCTCATGTACTTGAACAACGTTATTTTTTTGGTAATTAGTGGCAATACCGATGAAAGTATCATATTGAGTATTAACGGAGTTATGCTTTCATGTCAACGAGTTGTTGTAACAATATAGGGTCCTTTAAATTTAAGTTGAGTATAATTAATTATAAAAATAATTAATTAAATATTTAATTTTAATAATAATTAATTATATTGTAACGCAATCTATTTAAATATTATTTTTATAAAATTAATTTTGATAGAATTAAAGATATTTGAATAATTTATTTAGAATTAATTTTAATTGCATAAATTATTATAAAGGATATTACTTTTTAAAATAAAATTATTAATAAATTTGTATCTAATATTATTAAAATTTTTAAATTTTATTTAAAAATTAAAATATATTATTTAAATTATATATCTGATTAATTATAAAAATTTAAACTATAGTAACATTAACAATTTTAATTTACATAAATAAATAACTCAATATATCTTAGTTCAAATAAATTTAATAAAAGAGAAAGATTTAATTCTTAAATACCAAATATTAATTTTATAATAATTAATAAAGATGATAATATACAAATTAATTTTTAATGAAATCATGAATATGAAGCATATTTAATGAAGATGTTAAGCACTGTCTAAAATTTTGACAATATAAAAAATATAACAATGTAACAAATGACGCAAAGTCTCTCTCTATGAACTTTTGTAACAATTTTTGTAATGACCCTCAAATAAAAATTAAATTAAATTAATTTTTTCTATCAATTAATATTTTATTTAAATCAATTTTACTAAGTTTTGTGTCTTTCTTATAATTTTTTTCTTGGGCCTTTCTTATAATTTTTCTCTCATGCCTTTAAAATTCCAACGCATAAGTTAAGTGCCTGTTTGGATTTCAGTTGAATATAATAGGTTATAAAATAATTGATTAAGTAATAGATTTTAATTATAATTGATTATATTATAATGTAATCTATTTGAATACTATTTTTTTAAAATTAATTTTAGCAGAATTAAAATTATTTATATAATTTAATCATAATCAATTTTAACTATATAAATTACTATATAATTTAATTTTTAAATATAAAATATTAATTTTTTGAGGATATAAAATTTAAATTTTATTGAGAAAAAAAAGATAAGAGAAGAGAGTTTAGTTTTATTTTTATTTAATGTTATTTTTTTTTATAATTTTTTCTTGGGCCTTTCATTGTAAATTTTTCCAACACTTTTGATGAACTTTTTGCAGGGAGCTGATCGAGAGAGATTCGGAAAAAACGTGCGTTTACGGCAATAATTAATTTTTGACTTTTTCTGGCTATTTGAATAACTTGGCTCAAAAAATTGATTTTGAACTTAAAAATTAATTATTATACGTATCCAAACACACGCTAACTCTTGCAGCGGAAAGTTGAACAATCTGGGGTTTGAGTGTATAATTGAAAAATCGATTAAAATGCGTATCCAAACACGCACATAGTAATGCTCGGGCAATGGACTTGACAATCATGATAATTTACGTTTAATCAATTGGCAAGTGAAAAGATACATTAGTTGTGTGGAAAAGGAACAGGAGTTTTTTTTTTTCTTTTCGGGGGGGGGGGGTGTTAGAGGTGAAAGTCTCATTTTAGTGACAAGAAACACAAGAAGTGGTTTGGTTACATGCTGGCAACATTAAACATTGCATCTTTCAATGTGACTATATCATAATGATCACAAATTCAGAAGAACTGATATATTCGTTTCGAAGTTGGAAAAAGATCCATTGATGCTGCACAAACAATATATAGAGGTCGGTTACTTGATTACCACACAATGTACTTGTTAGATTATGCTTTTAAGTAATCAGTAGCTTTGCTCAACATATAAGCTTTCTAGAAAGAGAGCAACGTGTAGAAAATGACACGCACTTGCAAACCAAACATCCATATTGCAATATGATTATTATGTTTCATTAACATTAAAACTCATTTTATTTTCATTTCTTATTTTTTTACCCCAAGAAAAGGTGCTTTTATCTGTATCTTTGCTCTAACTCCTTTGTATTGAGGTTGAATACTTGAAAAGATAATATCCCTTTTTCTGTGTAAAATTTACTATACTATTTTTATTATTTAATCGATTATTTTTCCCCTAAGGGATAATAATTTTAAGAGTTTCTAAAAAAATTATTGTTTTTTTATTCAAACCTTTGAAATATGTAGATATAAACTGAAAATTTAAAAAATTACACACAAAAAATTAAAAATAACCATATTATTCATGTTTTAAAAATTGCGTGGTTCTGATAAAAGTATAATTTTATTGAATTTAACAGTTCTCTATGATCTGTTCTATTTACTAATCTCCCGTTTGCCAAGGAGAAATGATTTTAGCGAAAGCGAAAACGAAAATAAAAGTAAAGATAAAAGTGAAAATGAAAATGAAATTTAAAAAACATATTTGGCACAGAGATGTAGGTGGGATAAAAATTGTCTTCATGTTTTCCAACCCACCCTGTGTCAAAAACCCGTAATCGTTGATCTCTGACTGGGTCTCCCGGAATTGCTTTCTGATTGGCTTTTCAACCGGAAATGTGGCAACTACTTGCAATTTCTTTGAAATGTCTCTCTCTCTCTCTCTCTCGATCGAAGTCTTTTTGGCTTGTGAATTGAGATCTACATGGTCCTTCCTGGTCTTCAACTCTTCCTGTGAATGCAATCAATGAGGGACTGCAGAAGCCATGGGAGTCGGGGGCCATCGATCGCCTTCCTTGGAGTCGCCATGGAAAGGTATCTGGAGCATGCCGTCGAACGTGAGTGATTCTTCATCTTCGCCGTCCGTCTGTTATTGTTTCAGGAAGAGAGATTGCTGGGGCAAAATGGTCTGCACAGCGAGCTTTAGAAAAGTGGAACTGGGTTCTTTGGATCGGAATCCAATTGTATCACAATTGATGGAACTCAACTTTCTACGCAAAATTTTGAGTTCCGCCCTTCCTTCTAATCCCTGTCCCCAATTCTCTACATGCATTCTCAATTATAATGGTAATACGCCAATACCCTCACTTGGGTTACAAG